TATCAAATTAACATCTCCTGTTGTTTTTTTTTTTTGCTCAGATTGGTCGATATCAGGTGAAATTTTAATTTAGAAAGAAAATGTAGGGAATGAAAATGGGAAGAAAGTATTTAATTTAATGGAGATGAAATATGTTAGTTATTGGATTATTTTTAGTTATTCGATAAGACTATTAAAAATCTCTTATTTTAAATAAAAAATTAGAAAAAAATTTTATTTGTATCTCAACTTATGATACTTTTTCAATTCATAATTGAGCACATTAGCTAAAAATACCCATTTTTTTTTTTTTTTGGAGGAATTTTTGTTTAATGACGTTTACCTTGAATTAATTAACGTTTATTATATTGTCGTGGACAATTGGTATCAATGACAAATGTATATGACATGAAAATTAATTTTACATGTATTTATATTACGATTATATTACAATCATTTTATAATGATATTATAATTGATTTACATTTGATATTATAAGTACTGCAATGATATTATAATTAATTGCAATGATATTATAATTAACTTCCTTACATTATTTCAGGTTTAACATCCTTTATTCAATTTCTTTTTTTTTTTTTCCAATACAATGTTATTTTTCAATACTCTATTTTAACTTTTCAATTTTCATCCTTTTTTTAATTCAATTATTTCCTAATTTCACTTCATATCAATATAACATCCATGCAAGGAAGTGTGTGCAACACGCATATTAAAATCAAAATTTACGGATGAAATGAGCTATTGTTTTAAATATTATTGTTTGTGCAATGATGTTTACATTTCATGAATTTGACGAAACAAAAATGTGAAATCGATGGATAAAGATAGAAGAGATTAAAATGATTCGTTAAAATTATTTCGATTAAAGCAATTCAAATAAAGATGAAGGCCAAAGATTGAATTCATCTTTTATAATAAAAATGCTAATTTTGAAAGAATATAACTATTAGCCCAATAAACATCAATGCTAAATATGCTGTATTAATATTGCTTAATTTTTCTTCCACTATCATTACTATAATTCTTTTATTTTCCCAACATTGATCAGAAATAATTATTTTAAGCCTAAACAATCAAACTTGCATCCCCATATATATGAAGTAAACAACTTATTTGTCGCAACATAACCCTCATTTGGTGAAGTTGTCACCATTAAGTATGAGATAATTAGATAATCTAAATGAAATGCCTTAATAACCAATGTATCATTCTGTAATCAAAAAATCTGTTATCTGAGATATCTAAGATTTCTTAGATGCATAACAATTGGACATAAATGCTAAAAATGAGTGCATAACAAAATTAGATTGATCGAATTGATCGTATAGAAGTGAGATCGGGAAATTTTTGTATTAACTTCTTAAGATTTAAAATAAATTTTAGATTGATTAGCTGATCTAAAGTTCATCCGAGGGACTAGATCATTGGACTAATTTTAACTTAATTTAATTAGTAATTTAATTTAGATTGTTAACATTTTTACAACAAGCATAAAAGCTTCTAAAATTTACAATCATCCCAGTGAAGTTGATTTGATTAATATCACGGTAATTCAACAAATAAAATTTGCAGATGCAATAAGAATTATTAAATAAGAAACAGTTACTAGAACAATAAGATTAGTTTGCTTATTAATTAGGATCTTGTAATTTTTGATTCGTATCAGCTATGTTTCATAATTGCTTATCATCAAATCTTTTATACAATATTGATAAAGTATGGTTATCAAATTTATAGGGTACTTTTACTACAAATCGTTGTTCCACTTTGCAAATTTACAATATTTTGTCGTTGTTTTTAATTTTTTAAACTTTAATGACTGAAAAAATTTTTCATAAGATACAAAAATTTTCACTTATCTTTTTCTTTCTGAAATGAGAAATCTCCTGAATGATCCCGAAAAATAAAGTTTCTGCTATAAATGTTATTTTCCAATCTCCTTTATATCAAATAAAAATATTAGGAAAATCGAATTTAGAAATATTTGAAAATTCAAAAACTTCATCATTTAATTGTTACAGGTGAAGGTGAAATTAATTATAAATTATTTTTTATTAATTGCATATAACGTGAATACAGCATTACAATTGAAAATAATTATCAAAAAAGGTTTTAGCATTGACAGGTAAGCTATTAACATTTCAGGTTGAATATAAACCATATCAAATGATCAAATATTTCGATTGATACCAAAGAATTCATTTCATTTTTATTAGCTGAATAACTGATGATTTGTTTATGAAGGAAATTTTTATGGTCAATATCATTATGTTTCATAAAAAAAAATATTCCACTTTATGGTGTGTCACAATTCCGTCATCATCAAACTTTCCAATTTTATATTTATTATTTAGAGAGCGAAACTTTATGATAAATCAGTTTACAAACTTTCATGCGCGTCATATTGCATTTATTTTTTAGGCTTCATTAGGATCAAACTTAATTAGTAACTGCTATTTAACGATAAATGGTAAGCATTAAACTTGTTATTAAAATACAACAAAAGGAAGGTATTGGAAAATGATTTGATAATTAGCACAATTCAAATTTTAACTTTATAACCTTAGCATTGAAATTTTTAAAAACTCCTTGATTAACTTTTAAATAATCCATCCGCGAGACCTTTTAGACAGGTCCTCCAAATATATATTTTAAGTATATTTGGTGTAAAATTGAAATTTCAGAAGTTTCAAATTCTTCAAAAAGTTTCAAAAAGCAGAAATTTTCAATTTTACCGTAAATATAGTTTCATCATTTCTGATTTAGCAAAAAATAAAAATAAAATGGGGAAAAATGAGATTGAACATCCATATGGAACTTTTAAAACAGGATTGAAATGATAAAAAACGATTTACGTTAAAAAATACATTAATTTTTTTCTACAAAATAAAAAAAAAAATGTTAATTTAGACTATTTAGTCCAACCGATGATGTAAACTTTCATGTTTATATTAATTTGTTCCATATTAATTTTGGAAAAATTTTGCACAAACTTGTTTGATTAATTTTCCCGTTAATTAGACAATGCAGAAAAATTTTAGTTATTTCTAATTAATAGTGTTACCTTATCAGGTTATGCAATTTGGATTTTATATTTACTAATTAAAAGAGAAAATAAAGAAGAAAATGTCATACAGTTACACGTTTCATGAAGAGTTTGCCGATGGAAAATATCGATAATGAAATATCCAAGATGAAGTACAATTAGAATTGCCGAAACTTCGTACAACATGATGCTCACATGAGTACCACTAACAACACCTTTTCTTAGATATTAATTAATTAATTATTAGTTACGCTATCATTAATTCTAAATGCATGTTTTTCTTTGAGATCCATGGTGTAGCAATATTTCCAACCTGGTTGCAATTTTTGGGATGATACTGCTTTTTATTTATACGTTTATTAATTCACTATTTCACTTATGGTACTTGAATGAGAACCATCATGATAGTCGAGAATTGAAATTCTTCTTTAATGTTCCATAGAATTTTTATTCATCTAATTACAGGAATTTGTTAACCAGTAATATTATTAACCATAAATCTTTTTTTTTTTTTTTTTGCTTGAAATCTATTCCGCATAATATTCACATAACGCATTAGCAAATCCATGGGAACAATTAGCTGTCTAAGATCAGGTGAGTTTTCATAGTATATATAATGTCTTATTTTCATTAAATTTATTTTTATTCCTTCAATTTCAATAATGTTTTATTACACTCATATTATTTGAAATAGTTGAAAGCCATATAAATTTGCAGAAAAAAAAGAAAGTTTTTTTTTTATTTTTCTGGAGGACATGAAAAATAAAATTACATTGGTGAGAAAAAGGAAAACTAAAAAAATCGACAAACAAAAGAGAGAGAATTTCCATGAGAAATTTCATTACCAATTGAAAGTTAAACCTAAAATGCAAATGTAAGTGAGAAATTCAAAAAAACAATGACAAGATCAACAATTGCGGAAAATAAAAAACAATGGAATAAATAAAATATCAAACAATCTATCACAACCCAAAGGAAAATTAAATTTATTGAAATAATGTAGGAGATCGAATTTAGGTGTGAAATTTGAGTTTTTATAAATGAAGACCTTTCAACAGCTGCTCTTTTATACTCTACCCAAACTGACCCAAAATTTATAAGGACGGACCACAGATCAGATCAGAGTTATCTGTCCATTAGACGAAAACTTGAGAAGATTATCATGAACCTGATCTTTACCCTAATCATAATTCCTACTCGTAAGCTTTGTTAAAATCTTTGGCTTTATAACATAATGTCAAATTATTACAAAGTTTCCTAAACAATTTATCACTGTGATACAAAAATTTAGTCGATGTCAGTGAACAGCAATAAAACTGCACACAGTCCCTCAACGAAATGCCCGAAATATGCAACAAAATTTTGCATTTTTTTAATGAACGAATCGTAAAATTTACCCTCATAGGTGTCTTGAAATGTTAACCTCTCACTATGCATACAATAATAAACGATGACATAAATTTCAAATATTTACAGACGTTCACCAAGAGAGAGAAAAAAAAAATTCTAGAAAATTTCTAAACAAGCCGAAAACAAACTACCAAATAACCAAAAAATAAGAATTTACGATCATCTTTATTTACAATTATATTAAATCATTTTTTTCGCCTGTTCACCTATCCATGCAATTCCTTCACGACACCACATGAAAAATAGGCTACGTACGTCATAGTGCAAATCCGCCAATTAATTGTACTATTTGGCGTATTTTAAGACAGTTACCCGAAAAATTCCGAAATATTCAATTTTTAAAAAGAAAATGAAACGAAAGAACAAGTATAACTTAACCAAACTATCTATCACCGTTATCATCCATACTTCAGCATGATATCAGGTTACATTCGAATTAACAGCGCTAAGTCAACAAAAATGCATTAAAAAATGCTAAAGAATAAGTAGGAAAAAACTTGAACGCGGATAAAATCTGGCAACGATGAATGTTGGGAAATTTGTTGAGTGAATCAAAACGTACTGATATTCCGGCATATACCACAGCCAAGTGGAAATTCTTCACCTGTTGGTGGATGTTTAACCCTTAAAGGGCATTCATTTCCATCTAGTTGTATCCCTTTCGGACCAGCTGGACATTTGGGAAGAAGTTTTTTCGGCAAGCATATTAATCGTTGGAAATCATCATGACATGCTGTACAAAAGTGTGTGGTACCAAAGCTGCAAAACCAACAGGATTGAATAACCTCAGATAAAGCATATTAACTGCGATTAGTAGAAGTTTTGCAAATTTCTTAGCTTCGTACAATAGTTTAGCATCATATGAGACTTGAACAATGTCTAGATTTCATTTTAAAAGGGCCAATTCATAGTAACTTACCAGAAATAAACAGCAACTGAGCAACAAAAACGACACTTAAATTCAAGGAAGTCTACTCCATGACGTCCACAGATTTGAGCACCTACAACATCCGAACAACCACCACAGATCAGTTCCTCAGGATTATACTGTGAATTATCCAGTTCCTTAAATAAGCGCTTCTTCTAACACAGTAATTGCAAAGGAATTTTACGAATTGAAAAAGTTGAGGAAATTTTTGAAATAAACCTGCGGGCGAATAGCATGAGATTAGAAAAGGATGAAAAAAAGCAATACTTTTCTCGCCCCTTTCTGATATGATAATCGCAGGCCTACTCAAAAGCAAGTTAGATTTCCGGAAATAAGTCGCGCTGTAAGATTTCAAAAAATCTTAAAACTTTGGATTAAATTTATCTGTTTCAACAAGGCTAACCTGCTGACAACGACTTTCACCACCAAAATAAGCCTTCCCACATTTAAAACATAGCACATACATGTATCGCTCCATTGCATATTCATCCGGCTTCTTGTGAAGCTCACTGAAAAAAAGCTACTTGACTAATAAGTTTTAATAGTTTCATAACATTGGACTAACCGAAACCTAGTGGTGCTAGTGGAACGGTAACGACTTAGTAATGTCAAAAGATGGAGCAGTATTTTTCCCGAGTTTTCGAAAATTCCGATAGGAAAAAAAAAAACTGCTGTATCATTTGTAGTGACAATCACTATGCAGTCAAAATAAACAGCCTAACCAAGATAAACAGTAGATAAATTAAATGGTTTGGTTTTATGTTTACTATATAAACCCTTATCTCGATGGATGCTTAAAATTATGAAGCATCCATTCAGTTAGAAATAAAATTTATTCCTTTTTAGCTTCACAATGTTAATTGTCCAAAAAGAAAAGGGAAATTTTACCTGCTCTCAGATGAAGTCGCATGAGAGAGCAAAAGGCCATCATATTCAAGCCTTAAACGTGCTTTACTCAATACTTCGTTATACAAATCTTTTAATGGAAGTAACAAATCTGCTACTGATGGATGATCAATCTGGAAATTGAAAGAAACTAGGCCTGAAAGATATGGAACGAATATGACAAATGATACCAGTTATCTAATACCTAATGCTAACCATATCTCATGAATCACATTAGCTAAACTGCCAAGTAAGTCGTCCTAAACACTGACAAAGCGAATAAGCTCATGGTGAGAAACTTCTGTTATTGTCCTTTTTTTTAACTTCTTTCCCAAAACCGATTTCTATAAAATACCTTACCATATCTCCTGTAATTTTAAATGAAAACAATATCATAATTCAGGACATTCGATGGCTGTTGTATCAAGTATACCTAACTCATGGTACAAGATTGATAGGGTTGTAAAGATTCGGCTAACTTGTTCTTTGCACAATGGGCACTGCATAAAGCGAAAAACAATCCGTGGCCCGTTCCAACGCTTCTCGAGTACAGTTCGCACACAGTGATAATGGAAAATATGGTCGCAAGCCAGCTGAATACACGGTGCACCACCCAAACGATCCGTAAAACATATTACACACAAATCATCTGCATCTTGCTTTATATCTGAAAATTCAACTATGGAAGAAATGAACATTATTCCTCTAGAAGAATAAAAGATAGTATAACCAATGGTGATGCTTTCCTTTAAATTTCAAATAT